TACTGCTCAGGCTACGTGGACTGCATCCCCCACACGCGCAACAAATTTGCCTTCCGGGAAGCCGTGAGCAAACTGGAACTCAGCCTGCAGGAGCTGCAGGTGTCCTCGACAGCTGCTGGCATCCATGGGGCAAACCCCGTCCTTAATAACTTATTGTCATGTGTCCAAGAAATCAGTGATGTGGTGCAAAGGTAGCTACTGTCAATCTGGGTAAGAGAAACACACATGGGGAGGGCGGGACTGTTTTTCTGTACTGATGCTTTCAAAAGGAAAGACTGATACTTGAGTATGTGAAGTACCTCAGATCACTGAGTTCTCCTCACGTTTACAGGTTCATCTCAAAAAATTGGGGATGGAGAGGGTAGATTAAAGCTGGAAGGGGCAGAACATCAAGGATCTGTCCCTACCTAGTCAGGCTGATCTGCTTGGTATGGCGAGAGAAAGAAAGTTCCTTCTCCTCCCCTGGAGAGGCAGGAGAACCAATGGCAGGTTCTCCCTCTGGGCAGGATGGTGGTGACAGCCAGAGTTGTGGGGTGGCTGCAGCTGCCTGGCTGCACAGATCCTGCCCTGGCTGCACTCACCTGTGCTTTGCTGTCCTGACAAGGCCAAGGAAAGGCACTGGGGCTCTGCTGGTACCAACGGCAGAGCAGCCGGAGCGGCTCCGGAGGGGAGTCGTGTGCAGCTGGGGGAAAGGTCTAATGCACTGACAGTATTCAGAGCTGCTGGAGGTGGATGCACTGGTCTGCATGGCTTGACTTCCACAGCGCTGTTGCTGCTGTAATGAGAACTGCAAGATTAGTTAATATATGAAACTGTCCCTTTTCCCTCCTGTCCACCTCATCCACCACGTTCTCATCGTCATTGTATTGGAAGCGTCAGGGATGCTGGGCAGGCTTACCACTGGAATTCCCTCTTCCCACCACACAGCCTTCACTCAGCTGATACCTATTTCTAGTGGTCTAGCACAGGTGCTGCTTGATGGTCATTTTTGAGTAGTTTGGGGCTCTTGCACAACTTGCCAGTGTTGTTGTTGGGGTGGGTGGGTTCTTTTTTTAAGCTCTAGATTGTTTTTAACTTGTTACCAGGTTGACTCCCCGGTTCAGTTTGATCACCGTGAGGACCCATGGTAGGTAAGGCAGAGCCTCTGCTCCCCCTGGCTGTTCTCCACGTTCTCCACACAGTCTCAGCACTGCAGGGCCAGCTGGAGAACCAGGAAGTACAGCCCAGCCTGCCCACCAGATGTCCTTACTGCTGCAGGATTCCCTGGACCTGTCCCTAACCCTTCACACTGCCAGATTCCTGGGATTTGTTCTGATGCTTACTTGTCTCACAGGCTTCCAGCTTCCCTGCATCCCAAGGTGATAGAGTATGGCAGCACAGAGGGAAACACCACAGGCATCTCCATGTATTTATTCCTGTATTTTAAAGGCTAGACCAGAATCCTTCGCTGTGCTGTAGGGCACGTGCACATAACCTGTGCACTCCCCTGCCTGAGGCGTGGCAACAAAAGCTGTGGCTCTACCTTGAAGGGCTCGAATGCCTTCTAACAGCCCCAGAATGAGAGCAGTGAGTGGCTGGCATTGTCATCCTTGGTCCTGGTGCTGTTGGCAGGCTGCTGTGGCCTCAAAAAGCTTGTCTGTGTCTACACACAACTCCCCAGGGTGTAAACGTACTGGCAAGTAGGAAGAGCTCAGTTGCTGGTTTGTGAGAGGAAAGGAAACAGGCCTGAAACCTGGCTCCAAATACACCTTACCTGCATGCTGCTGCTCACTTCACACTGCTGGTGATTGAGGTTCTTGCTTGCTTTGCACCTTAAGTTTTTGTTAGTTTTTTGGGGTTTTTTTTTGTTTTGTTTTGTTTTTTTAGGTTAAATTGCTTTTTAAACTTGTTTTTCAAGTGTGGCTGTGCTGCTTTTAGTCTGAGCAGTCAGAGTGGAACTGTGGCACAGGTGTGACTTTAGAAGATGGGCACTTCTGTTTCTGTCTAGAAGCACATGTTGGTGTTTGGAAGCAGGCTCGGTGTCTCAGCAAGTGTCCCTGTTTTTTCCACAGAGCATAGCAAGACAGGCCTGAAAAAAATCTTTAGAAATGGGTTGGTATCTGAGAATCCTCATTTCATTACTGGTCTGAGCTAAGCAAAGTTGTTTCAGGGTGCTTGGAGGCTGAGCAGAGGAGCAGCATGTGAGGTACAATGGACCAGTGAAGTGGTGAGGGGGAGAAAGAACCAAGCAATCCCTTGTGCTGCACATCCTGATCCCCTGCAGCCCTCGGGGCTGTCCCGAGGCACTTCCACAGGCAGAGTACCAACCCCTTATCTGGTAGACTTTACTGAGGGCTTTTGTGGTTTACCTTATCTCTCTCAGTCATCTCCATGGAAGGTGTGCATCCAAACTAACTGCCTTTGGAAAGGTGACCTGCAAAGGGAAGGTGGCTTGAGGCATTGCTTCACATGGTCTGTCAGACAATCAGAAGGATTTAGAAAGTGGGGGGGCTCTCTTCTTCGGGGCAGAAGGGCAGGCCTTGCTTACCCTGGCAGACCATCACATGGTTCCATCATTGTACTGCTGCTCAGTCTGGGACAAATGGGCTGGAACTGAAGGGATTCCAAGGGAAAGGAATTTTAACCAGAACATTTTAAAGCTTAGCCCAGTTCTGATGAGTATTTTGAAAGAAGCCTTTTTTTTTTTTTTCCCTAAATGCCAGTCTTCCAGAAAAGCTACTGGAAAAGTGATAGAACAGCAATATGGAATTTGTAACTACTAGAACTCCCCTCTTGCAGCCCTTTCTGAAGAAAGCAGCTGTGTCCCAATGAACATTGGCCATCCCCACTTCCTTTCAGATGTTCCATTTTCTCCTTGCACCACAGCAGAGATGGGCAATGGGACAGGGCAGCATCCAACTGCTTTTCCAGAGTCACAGAATGGCTGAGGTTGGAGGGACCTTTGGAGCTCACCTGGTCCAAACACTCCACCCAAGGAGGGCCACCAAGAGTTACCTCTGAGGACCATGTCCAGCTTTTGGGCATCCAAGCACTGAGACTCTACAACCTCTGTGCCCAACACAGGAGCCCATTTAGTTCTGACCCCTCCTGTGGTCCAAAAACGAAGTCCAGTGGAATTTGGGGATTGACCTGTTGTAACTCTCATAGAAAGTATTTTCTCTGCTCTTACCTATCATCTAACACCAGGTTGGTAGATTAGGGCAGAGGTAGTGCTGACTTGACACTTTTTTTTCCCCTCCTAAATTGAAGGTTGCAGAATTTCTGGGACTTCTGCTGCCCTAGGGTGTTTTATTCCCAAACTGCAATGTTCCCCTGCCCCTGGCAGGATAGCAAAAGGATGTTATCTGGGAAAGCTGGTTCTGCTGTAAATTACCATCCAGTTGTTCTTCCTTCCACAGCTGCTCCTAAAACTTTTACCATTCCCTTTCCCTTTAGCTAGGTCTGGCTTTCTCTTCAGCCTTAAAGGTGTCCAGTGTGGCCAATTCTCTGTTTTCTGCCAGATGTGCCAAGGAATGTGTGGGTGCTGACACCCCATTATTTGTCCCAGTGAAGAGCACTTCATGCTCCGTGGTTTGGGGCAAGGGACAAGGCATAAATCCTGTTGTTCCTTTTCCTCAGCACTGTCAGACAGCTGTGGGGGCACAGCTGGAGCTGGGCTCTTGCACTGCTGTGGGCCAGAATTTAAAGCAGTCATCTTTGCCAGGGGGATGGCACCCACAGGCCTGGTACTGCCCAGCACAAAGCACAGAGTGAGCTCAGGGGGGCACTTTCTCTTCCTACCACTGTGGGAATTAGCTGACTCACAGGTGCAATTCTCTCTTCTTCCTGCACTGTGCACCCTTCTTAACCCCAAAGCAGTGCACTTGATTTAGTCACGTTCTTCATTAGTGTGGGCAGGGGTGAAGCTGAGCTAAGGGTCTGGGTCTTGGGGCTGCACCAAATTTAGGCAGTGGGAAAGGGGAATTGAAGGGAGCAGAATTGCTGATGCAGAACACAGCAGGGGGAGAGAGAGAGAGAGGGGAGGGCTGTTCTTGTCCGCCTCAGGACGTTTCTCCTGGGTGCCACTGGCCTTGTGTCTGTGAGACACAGCCAAACACAAGTGTTGACATCTGCCAGGGTGCTACTGCAGGGGTTGTGGGGCACAGGGAACCAAACCCCACAGTGGAGACAGAGCAGCCCCTCCACATCAGGCAGAGGTGTGGGGTGTGCAGCCACAGAGCAATCCCAACCCTCGTGTCCTACCACTTACCTGAGGCAGGCTGTTCTTCTGGGCCATCCACAGTGTGACAGGCACAAGTGACTCCAGAGGATGGTGGCTACAAAACCATCAGGACACACTCAGCTCAGCTCTGCTGCTCATCAGGAGCTGGCAGGGAGACTGAAAGGCAGAGACTGCAGCACCTGTGGAAACCTCCCAGGGCACTGTCCAGCAGGGCTGTGTGCTGGGGTTGTGCTGCAGATCCCTGGAGTGCAGAACAAAGCCCTCAGCCCATTCTCTGGAGGCAGGAAACAGGAGGTTCTGGGACACTGACTTGTTTCTCACAGCTCCACGCTAAGCAATGTCTGTACCAAAGGAGGTCGTTCTTCCCCAAGTGTCTGTTGTGCACGGGAGGTGGAGCCTGCTCGGCTCCCATGGCACTGTTTGTATTGGTATTGAGGGCAGGAATGGATTGAAATGAAACACGTTAATCACCAATCACTCTTAGCAGAGTTGTCAACTGTTTTTTTGTTTTTTAATTGTTATTGTAATATATTTTGGTTGTTTTTCTAATTTAATTCTCTCACTATCGTCTGACTGTGAACTGCGAACAGTGTTAAACTTGATGTAAATAAGGCCCTTGAAAGGGCCTCTTTGCCTGTCGTTCCACAAAGTTTTGCCAATTTGCATTTTGTTTTAAATAAAGGTTGCAATATTTTATTGGCAAAAACCACTTGAGTAGACACTGTCTTGTTTTTTTCACTTAATCAATATTCGAAGCTGCTCAGTCCTAACAAGAAGCTCATTCATTTGGGTAGAAGAAATCATTAAAAAGATAATTTAATTCCAGCAGGTTGCAAAAAAAAGCAGTATCTTTATTTATGCAGTATCTGTTTAGAACCAAACCGTTGCCCTGGCCTGGTCAGAGAGCACCTCTTGCTGATCAGAGCTCACCCAAGTGTGACACACACATTTGTGACCCAGCAAAGCACAGCTCTTGCCTCGCCCTCCTCAATGTCACCACCTCCCTCAGAGCTGCTCCGTGCCTGCCTCAAACAGTCCCCACCGCCCTCCTGCCACCCCAGCCTGTGGCAGCCTAACCCAGCTGAACACTTCTTGACATTTATTAAAAGTCCCAGGTTATCCTGGCTGACACAACCTTTTGGCAACTAACCTTCAGCCAACAGCTTGCTAAACTTTCTGCCCAGGTGACCAAACACAACCCCAGTTGTGTCCTGTGAGGCAGCAGCCTCCCTGCCCCTGCCCTGATGTTTCCCAGGTTTATGACACCTGAGATTAACCATAAACCAAGTCTCAGAAATGCCTGATCACACACGCTGGCACAGCCTGAAGATCCATTCCACACAGCTGCACTGTGAGCAGTGGGAAAACAGCTGGCTCATCTCTGCCTTGGACTATGAAGCCTGTTAGGTAACGGAGCCAGCGTGCCCGGAGGGAAGCAGGACTCAAAGTCTGCAGGGCTCGGACGTGTCTGTCTGGTCAATCTTTCCCAGAGGTCGTGCTGCTCATCACTGGCACCACAAAATGGGTCAAAGCTTAAAATAGACCAAAGGTCCCCCCATGGGGGTGGCTGGGAAGCCAAGCCCTGTCCTTGGCAGGTGCTGTTTCACTCCTCGCCAGCACAGCCCTGTTGGAAGGGAGTTTTGACCCAGAGGTCAGAGAGTGATTCCAGTAACACTGATGAAATTTTTTGGGAGCTGCTGCAACACGTTTATCACCTGGTGAGTATCCAGACAGCAAACAGCCCCTTGTAGTAATAATAATAATATTAATAATAATGCTGATAGCAGCTAAAAAAAACACACCATGAAATGTACTGAAGAGAAAAACGTAAAAAGGAAGGAAAAAAGTCAAGCTTTCACTGCATCCATGAAAATTCACATTCAACTGCAGCCTGATGCTTCAGCCACCACCCTCCTCACCTGCACTTGGCCTTTGGCAGAGGAGTTCTCTCCCCTTTTTGGTTTTGCAGTGAAGGAAATGGGCTCTTCACCAACCCACTCAGAAAAATAATTGCAGCAGAAGATCCCCTCACCCCGGCAGCTGCTTCCATACAACGGAAGACTCCAGTGAGAGGTGGACACTCCAAGGTGAGAGCTTGGATCTGGCATCTCCAGAGGAGATTTTTCAGTCCTTTTCTCCCTGCACAGACTATGATCCTGGCCCACGTGTCCCTGAGCACCAGACACCTTAGAAAGGCGTGAGATCAATAGAGGGGAAAAACTCAACTCCAGCAAAACAGTTCTGGGTGTTCTTGTAAAGTGACAGAGAAAACTGGGGACAGGGACGTGGCTTTGGCCACACTGTCTCAACAGGACCAGCCTGTCCAAGGCCTCCCTCCACCACACAGCAACAAACCAAGGACTTGGACATTCCCAGTCCCCACTCACAGCATCTGCCAGCAGAACCCCACCACCCCTTCAGGCTACTGCCAGCTAAAAGAAGGGATTTAAAACACCAGATAGACTCCAAATGCAGCTGAGCACAGGCTGTCCCCACATCCCAGGAGTAAGGGATGCACCTCCTTCACTGCAACAGCCCTGGGAGTAATGGGGGGTTTAAGTCTCTGTTAAGTCCCTGTGCAGTGCCTGGCTGGGCCATTTGCTTCTGACCCTGTGCAAAGAGAGCAGCTCCCAGAGTGCAGAAACACCAGTGCTCCCACCTGGTGTTCAAGGAAGGAAGTAATTGATGCGCTGGGGCACGGATTTGCAGCCCTGTGCAGAGAAAAGCTTCTCCTCTTTGGGGACAAAAACCATCATCTGGGCCACCTCATCCAGTGTTGCCTCGGTGTAGGGAAACCCGCGGGCCAGGAAGGCGTCCCGTGCACAGAGCTTCACATGCTGATACTCCAGAGGCAGGAACGGCACCACGAAATCGATGAGGTTCTCTCTGAGGAGGTGGCTGTGGGCATAACTGTTCTCTGGAGCAGAACACAAGACAAGGCAAACTCAGGAGCTTCACCTGAGAGCATCATCCCTCTGCGAGGCCAGGCTTGGCTCCGAGGGGCTGGGACCCACTTGTGCACTCTGAGCACCGAGCATCTCTAGAAATCACACCAAGAGACACCTGGAGGCCCAGGGAAGCATCGGTACTGCCCTGTGACATTGAGCTGCCTCTTGCCCCCAGCCATTTTCAGGGCTGAGGGGTGCCAGAAGGTCTCTTGGCTCCCTCCCCACCTGCCTTGGCTCACAGGGACCAAGGACGGGGCTCTCACTGTCAAACCCCCGGGCTGGGCTGGAGTGAGGTGCCTTGTTCCCCCAAGCACAGCCCTGCGTGGCACACGGTGGGTGGGATGGGTGGGATGGTGCAGAGGGGCAGCTTTGCAGACAGCCTGCCCAGAGCCCCCTGAGCGAGCCCAGCCCTTACCTGCAGCCTCCTGCAGCTCCAGCCGCAGCCGCTGCTCCAGCAGCTCCAAGGAGATCTCCTCCCGTGCCCGGCCGGCTCGCCAGAAGTCCAGGGCGACCTCATTGATGGTGTTGCCACCAAGATTACTGTGGACACACAGGGAAGTCACTCAAGATTTCCCCCAAAGCTGAACCGCTGAGAGCTGCCAGCACCTTTCCTGCAGACAGGCCCCAGCATTTCTGTTGGCAACAGAGGATTTGCTGTCTAGGATCAGCACGTGGAGAGCCAGCCTTCTTCCCAAAGAGCCCCTTTCCATAGGCATCGATGCAGCTGTCTGCCATCCTGCCAGCTCAGACCCAGGGGCAGCAGATTCCTCCATCTCCCTCAGTCCCCTGTCCTGGCTTGGGAAGCCACTGACCTCACAGGTGACACTTTGCTCCACAGCAAACGCTGAACAAACCACCACAAAGTCCAGGTTAAAGGCACAGAGCACATGGCAGGAGTCCCACTGGAAGTGAAGGTCCAGGGCAGGGATTCAAGTGGCAGCCCAGGACATGGCAAAGCATCCTCTGCCCATGGGGCAAAGCAGCAGCACAGTTCCCACCCAAGGACTACTCTGGACACCCATGGGGGCAGCTCTGTGGTGGGATTTGCAGGGTCCTGGCAGCTGTTGAGGGTCCCAGGACAGCCTTTCGCCCTGGAAAGCATGTCCAGGAGAGGTGTCAGCCCCAAGTGCTGGTGAGGAGTTTGCCCCCAGCCCTGAATGCCCCAGTGAACTGGGAACCGGCTGGATGCAGAGCTTGTGTGGGTGGGAGGCACAGATCTTGCACCCCATCCTCATGTCACAGGCTCTGGGCCCCAAATGGAAGGCAGGGAAAATTAAAAAGCCACCACTGTTTCCCACCATGCCCCCACCCCCTGTCAGGTAGAAAACAGCTTGTACTGCTCCTGCTCCCAACCCAAACTCAGCAGAAACAGCTCCTTTTGACTGGACAGGCTGCCAGTCCTCCCCTGTCCCCAGCTCCCACACCTGGGCAAAGCTGCAGGACCGTGCCAGTGCCCACAGGAGCCCTGGGGCAGAGCCATCCCTCCTAAAGCAGGTCAGTGTCACACTGCCACCAGGAATGATGAAAGCCCTGGGATTACACACTGCTGCAGTTCAAGGCACCCTGCTCCCCTCTGCTTGCTGGCATGAGGGGGGTGACACTGCCCATTCCTGACCTTCCTGGCTCATCAGGCAGGACACAAGGTCAGCCCAGAGCAGCTGGCAGCACCTGCCCCTTCCACCACAGCTCCTTCCACTCAGGTGTGGAGTGTGGAGAGTTCCACAGGCACCAGGCACACAGACAGGTCCTCCACAGGCAGGGAAAGCTCTCTGAGGGAACCACCAAGCTTGGAGGTTGGAACACTTGCCTGGATGGTGGGAGGTGCAGGAGGAATGCTCTGCTCACCTCCAGCCAGTAGGAACTGCCAGAGCCAAGCTCAAGGCTGCGATTCCTAAACTGAGGAGGGCCCAAGACGCAGATCTCTCCCTCTTTAGGAGCACTTCAGTCAGGAGCCTGTCTCACATCCTGGTTTTTAGACATCCCATTTCCTCCTCCAGCTGCATCCCACCCAGGGACAGCGCTGGGGTGCACATGTGCCCAACTCCTGGGAAAGGAACCAACTAAACCAGGCTGTGCTGATGCCAGGATCAGCTTCAGCACCTCAGTCTGCAGCCACAGCCAGGCAGTGGGAACTTCCCACCAAGACCTTCAGCCCCAGCTTTGCTCCCTGGAGTGTGATATCACCTGCTCAGCTGGGCAGGGTGACACCACGTTAACTGACTCTGCTTCCTTGCCTAAAAGTCTAGACACTGGCTCAGGTATCCCAGCTCAGCTGGACCTCAGGTCCTCCTGCAAATGCCCTGTTCCCAGGGAGGATCCGTAGGTAAAACTGAGCATGGAGGAAGCCACCACAAGGGAACGAGGTTTCTGTGCCCTGCAGCCTCAGCCCTTTGTATCACACACCTCTGGGGATAAACACCATCACTTGGTTCCTCCCATCCCTTCAGGGGAACCAGAAATCACCTGAGGAAGAGGAAGATGGATCTCTGTGGATCTGCCTGGCCCTGGCTGTCGTGTTGAGCCATGAAGGGTTTGATGGCATCCAGGAGGCTGGAATGGAGCTTCTCGGCCTCGTCGAAGATGAGCAGGGCCTGCCCACAGCGCTGCACGGTCTCGCTGATCTGCCTCTGCAGCTGGACCTGCAGCAGAGGGGAGGAGTGTCAGGAGCCTCTGGGATAACCCAGCCAAGCACCACAGCTGCTCCATCTCCTCCCACCCAGAGAGACAGGGCAGAGAACAGGAAGAGCAAAGGCAGGAAAACGAGTGAGGCGAGGTAAATTAGTTTAACAAGTGAAGGAAAGAGGAAAGAAATCAAGTGGTGCAAAGGCAGCCACTCACCCTGCTGCAAACAGACTGACACCCAGCCAGTCTCTGAGCAATAGCTTCCTGCCCCCAAACCCCCTCCCTGCAGCTTTTATCCCTGAGCATGACAGTAAATGACATGGAATATCCCTTTGGCACTAGGGCTCAGCTCTTTGGTGTGTCCCAAACTTCTTGTACACCTCAGCCTGCTGACCCCAGGGGCTGAGTATGAGAGGGGGGAAGCCTTGAGGCTGTGCAAGCACTGCTCAGCAGTAACCAGGACAGCGCTGTGGGATCCGGTTTCACTCACAAACCCAAACCACAGCCCCACACGGGCTGCTGGGAAGGACATGAACTCCAGCCCAGCACCCTGGACCATCCTGTGTTGGTGGCTCTCACCTTGTAGGAGTCCACGTAGTTGTGATGTGGGAAGTGGAGGAGGGAGACGAACACCCTGACACAGTCACTCTTCAGCCCGTCCCGGTACAGGTGACTGGCCATCATCCGAGCCACAAAGTTCTTCCCTGTGCCAGACCAGCCATGGAAGGACAGGACCAGAGCCTTCTGGGGCCGTGGGCTCTGCAGGAACCCCCGCACTGCCCGCACCACCACGTCCTTGGCCAAGTGCTGCCCGTGGAGCTGCCCACTGAGGTCTGCCTCCAACCCTGCACAGAGAGAGCACGAGCTCAGCCTTCCACTGCCAGCACAGCTACTGCAGGTGTAAGAGGAGAAAACGTGGCAGGGCTGCCTGGCTGAGAGGACTCTGAAGTGACATAAAAGCCACAGGCTGCCTGTGCCCTACCTACATCAGCTTCTGGCCCCCAAAAGACACAAATCCTCTGCTGGCTCATTTTTTTTTTCCTTTAGGAAGAGGCAGTGGTGTTTGGCAGCTGCAGAGAGCGCCGATGCCCAAAGGCCCTTCAAGCTCCCAGCACAGGATTTGCATACCAGGAGTCTTAGGGACAGCGAAACACAAAAACCCCTACTCATGGCTTACACACAGGTCTCATGTGCCCTCCCGACCTACAGCAGGGTCCTGGGCGGGTTTGGATCCCACTGCACGTGCCTGGAAGCTATGGGCTGCAGGCAGGGCTCATGGCAAGCTGGAGCAGATATGCTGTGCAGCAAGGAACAAACCCTCCTTGGTCTCAGAACTTCAAATGGGTCACAGGACTGAGCTCAGCCTCTCACTCTGCCACAGCTCAGCACCCCACTCAGAAAAGCCCTTTACTAACATCACTTTCTAGGACACACTTTATCAGGAAAAAAAAAGAGAAAAGCTCAAAGCAAGCCACACGAGCAGCGCAGCCCCCACCTGTGATGTTGTTGGTTATCCTGCAGTCTCCTGTCTCACAGCACTTGCCGAAGCTGCAGTACCAGGCAGAGAGGATCTCCAGGTAATCCTGGCCCACCAGAGGGAAGCCCCAGCCTGGAAACGGGAGCAGTCTGAGCAGAGAGGCTCCAGGAAAGAGGCTTTTTTACATTTTGAATGGACGCTCAGCTGAGCCCTGTTTCGGGCAGCCCTCTCCCAGGTGCAGGGACCCAGCCATGCCCTGTCTGTGGGGAGGGACACCGAGCTCGGGCCTGGTTCGAGATGGCTCCGAGCGCCCAAGGAGTTCAAGAGCACTCCCCTCATGCCGGGGCTCGCCAAGGGGGCGATGCCCGGGGCAGCGACCCTCGGGAAGGAGCGGCGGGCACAGCAAGGTCCGGACCTGCTGCTGCCTCCCGGCCACGGGAGAGGGAGAGAACAGAGCAAGGTGCTCACCTGGGATGGGGCCGGCCTCTCGTTCTCGCTGCTTCTCCTCCTCCTCGTCCTCCTCCTCGCAGCCCTCCTGCCACACCTTGCACGCCAGGTACCGCCAGTACTGCCTGGAGAGAGCGCCCACAGCTCCCAAATGCTTCTTCACGGCTTCGTACCTCACCCTGCCCCACGGTCCCCGCTCCGGGACGGGTCCCTGCTCCTCTGCCCAGGGCTCCCGGGGCGGTGGCCTAGTCCCGGGGCTGCCCGAGCCGCCCAGGAGCAGCAGCAGCACCAGGACACAGCGGCCGAGCCCGCCGGGCCTGCCCCGGCCCATGGCGGCGCTGAGGGCTCCGGGGGGCTCCGGGGACTGAGGGCCCCGGCCCGGCTCCGCTGGGTCCGAGCTGATCGCGCTTCCCGGGGCGGTGCTGGGCAGCCGCGGCCGGCCCCGGCCAGACGTGGCTTCCTTGTCGCCGTCCCAGCCACGGGGACGCGACCAAACCCAAGCCCGAGGCCGAGCAGAGGCTCCGGCCCCGCCCCGGGCCCGGCCAGCCCTGGCTGGGAGGGGAAGGAGCTGGAGCGATGCCCGGGGAGGCTCCCGGAGCACCGGGGCCAGACAAATAATCTGGTTTTTTTAAGTAGCCCAGCGGCTCGGCTGAAGTTTTGCAGGCACAGAGGTGAGAGCAAATGGCAGCTGCTCCTCCGCGTCCCTTCAAAGGGGACAGAAAAATAAGAGGCAGAAACAAGGGAGCAGCGGGTGAGTCAGCACGGCTGTGTTTGCTGCCTGCTATCCTGGTATCCTAACTGAGAGCAAGGCCAAAATGCTTTAGGAGTGGAAAGGATTTCAAGGTTATTCCACATGCTTGGAAAAATAAAAGCAAGAAGGATCATAAACAGAATTAATCCAGCCTAGTAATTCCCTGAGGCAGGTGGATGGCAGGGGGGATGCAGCCCAGGCATGGAGCAGAGTGCATCACCATCTACAGACGCCTGCAGATATTACACAGCAGCATTCAGCACACTGGGCTAACAAAACAGCCCCTTCCAGCTACAAAAACAGCGAGGCTGAAACCTGAACACCACTTGCAACAACTTTAACAGAACTAAAAATAGTGCATTAAAGAAACAAATTAAAAATCAAACTTGCTGTAGCTAAACTGCTGTCAGCCTTTCCGAAAACCAGTTGAGGCACTTGAAGCATTTATTCAGATTTATAAAAAATTTAACAGCTGGAACATTCAAACTTTGTCCACCCAGGATAAATTGCTCTAGCTGAAAAGGGCTTCTTAAAAGGGGCAGATGTTGTAAAATATAGATGTTGTAAAAAATAGCTTACTTACATGTTCCAGAGGAAAAAAGAAAATTCTGAAGGATAAACTGACCAGCTCTTGGGATGGTTTCATGATTTCTGGGATGTCAGCCCTGCCCAAGTGCAGCACATAGTAAGAACCAGAAGGAAAAGCAGTTCTTTAGGAGGCCCTGGCACAGGTTACCCAGAGAAGCTGTGGCTGCCCCAGCCCTGGAAGTGTCCAAGGCCAGGATGAACGGGGCTTGGAGCAGCCTGGGATAGTGGAAGGTGTCCCTGCCCATGGCAGAGGCTTGGAACAAGATGATCTTCAAGCTCCCCTTCCAACCCCAGTCATTCTGGGATTCTGTCAAGGGGGGTTAGGAAGCACATGGGGTTTTTTCCTTCCTCTGCTGAAACCCAAAGTGCAGTTTGCTAATCTTGAGGTGAGTCTCTCTTGAGGCCTGCACAGCCCTGGAGTTGATGGGAGGATGCTCAGCTTGTCACTCATGGCTGGTTATTCCAAGCAGTCAGTCCCAGTGAGCAGTAATACCTGATTAAGACTCCACCACCTCAGCTCAGGTGCTGTCTGAAGAGAAAACAGCACCACATGAAATGGTTATGCCTGGCTTATTCCACACCCCAAAGCAGCTCGGGACAAGCAAACATTCAGAGGGAACCTCACAATCCAGAATTTCATTTACAGGCTGTCCAGGGAAATGCCATGCATCCATCTTTTAGGTTTTTTCTCCATTTCCATACAGCAATTTCTTCTGCACATCCATCTCAGCACTCTGACAGAAGGAAGGGGGAGAAGAGCCTCTCTCCAGAGCTCAATATAACACAGCTATGGATTAGATCACTACATAAAAGAAAGATCTAGAATAAACAGTATGAGAGGAGTCCTTTCCCCTCCCTCCTTTTTTCCCACAAAGTACTATATATTCTCCAGTCTTTTAAAAAGATTGAGATTCTACAAAGAACAAATCACCAGTCCCACACCTGGGATATATGAACTGAGGACTTCTATTCCTAATTTTTAGATTCAATAAAAAAATTGTAGGTAAAGGATTTGAGGACCTCAGGGAAAGTGCTGTTTTTCAACCCCCTTTGGTTCTCCATTGGCTCAAAGTCGTTTGTGTTCATTCTTTTGTAAAAGTGCATTCATTACATAATCCAAAACACTAAAATCTCCCAGTTATACAAATTTGCACTCTGTTACTATGGCCAACCACTCCAAAAACACAAAGCAGCAGCACAACAAAGTGCTTGGAACAACAGCTCTCAACTGCCAGTTTCTCCCTGTCAGAACTTAAAAGCATCTCTAGCTCTTGAACTGTTCATACACAAGCAAGAATCCTGTCCCACTCCCTGAGCAAATTGGCACTTCAAAAATAGAGATGGAGGAAAGGAAAAGTTACTGTCAGCACACAATGCTAGGAAACAAAAAACCCCAGAACATCCTCCCCCAGTAATCCCTCAAAATAAACCCCAGAAAGCAGCTCACACAGAATTCAACAACACTGAAATCCAAAGCTGCAAGTGAGAAACTCTAGTTTAAAGAAAAGCAGGTTTCACACCACCAGTTCATGCTACATAGCAGGTCGAAGATCCCTGAATTCAGAAGTGCTTCACCCCCTGCCTCTGAAACAAGTTGGGGCATTAAGAAAAACTCCTCTGCAGGCTGAGTAAAGCTCTGCTCTCAGGGGGAGCAGTGACCTGCCCCCCCAATAAAAGCTTATCCACAAACACCTGCCAGCTCTAGAGACACCTCCCACAAGCCAGTGTCCATCCCTGGCTCCATGGAAGCAGCTCCTGGGACACTGCCAAGGGCTCAGCCCACATGCTCAGCAGAGGCAGGGCCATGGGATGCACGGGCAGAAAACCACTTCAATCTAGGTGTGTTTTATTTCTGTATTCTTTTGGGACACTCTCCTTATCAACAAGGCTCTGGCAAACAAGCTGCATGTTTTGGACATACACAAGTGGAGAAAATGCCACTGACAACCATTAGAAGAGGAGTAAGTGGGAGACAGCAGCAGCAAAACACTTCACACATTCAGCCCACCACATGTTGGAACGTGAGACAGACAAGGGAGGGAGAAAGAGACTTAGGCAATCTATTGATGTTGCTTTATTAAAATCTGTATTCACACAATGTTGCTTTATGTGGGATCTGACCCCGGGGGGATAGGAGTAGAAAGTCATGATTGCGTTCTGTTTGCTTATTAGCAACTCCATTTGTGCAGCAGCTCCCAGGGGCCTCCTCTGGCATATCCGAGAGGGAGATCTGTTTCCAGCATCTTGCTCCAGCTGCTGCAGTAAATAAATTACCTTCTTAATAAATTAGTACTTTTGAGTTGAAGTTTGTTTGGCAAGACACACTCCAGTTCATCAGCTGCTGAAGAAGAGCTGACTCAAGTGTGTCCTCCCCCTGATGGCTGACTTGGGAAGGAGGAGGTAAATAGCAGATGGCTGATGAGGCTCTTTAATTAGTTCTTGATTTCTGCGCTTCCAGTGCTCTGATATCATTGATAACCACGACACAACCAGTGTGTAACATCTGGGGCCAGCGGGGAACACGTGCACAGTGAACAAGAATCAGAAGGTGTCTCGAAAACCTCCTGGACAGAGCACCTGCCTTGCAAACAATGTTATTTTTCAGAGATTCAAGCAGACCCTGTTGGCACCCGGATGCTGCTCCTCATTTGCTTTGCAATGGTTACAACTTAAAATTTCATGGGGTTCTGTGTTCAAGCAAAACCATCATCTGCCAAAAGGGCAGAAATTATCACAAGGCCAAAACCAGATTGTCCTGATTTTGGTTTAAGAGAGGAATTTATTTTTCTTTCCTACTGCAGAACACCAACCTCCAGTAGTGTTTACAGCAACCAGAAGCATCAATATCACAAATAAAAAAAACAACCCCAAAAAATAACCGCTTCTTGTTTCTTTCTACTGACAATGCTGGACTTCATGCCCTTTGTCCACAAGTAAACCAAAATAAACCAATACCCTGCTTTAAATCTTTGACATTTATACTGGGGAAAAACTTATCTCCAGGTTCCACCTGACAGCAAAAGCTTTAGCTTAAAACAATATGTAAGTCCTCAACACTAATTTAATTTCAAAGACTGAAAGACCTTTTTTTGAACCCATTGTTAAATCAAATGTAAATATCAAGAGTGATCACACAGAAACCAGAAATTAAATTTTGGTAGATCCCTCCCAAAATATTAAGAACTCATGATTAAGCTCAAAGAGAAGAATACACTTTTTGAAATGCTACAAGCCACGAACCATGTGTTTCACCATCTTCCCTTTGGGTAAATCATCTGAAATTTCCTGGGAAACAGCTTAAAATAGCACTTGCTCCTGCCCCACAGGCACCACCCACAGCTTCTAAAGTGTGTTCTGTTATCAGGTGATAGAGGTATGAGCTTCACAGTGTCCTCAAAGCTGGCTGTGTCACCATCCTGACTAAGAACTCCAGTAAATAACTCCAGGTCCCATCCCATCATCTCATTGCTCTGGGGCGCATCTGTGATTGTGGCCAAGTCCAGAAGAGAGCAAGAATAACATAAAATTGCACCTCAGGTAAGCGGTCACATTCTACTTTCAAGATACTCTGCTCATGCAATGAGAAAAAGACTTCAGCAAAATAAACTAAAACCTGCATTTTTCAGATAAACTGTCTCCCTGACACCTCCTAGATCAGGTGCAGGCAAGGTGCAAGAACAGGAGGCAGCTCTTTACCTGCCTGCCACACTGCAGTTAGAGAAATCCTGACAGGAAAATCAAGGAAAAGGGCTCAAACTGACAATGTGGTGCTCTTGCTCTCAAGTCCAGTAACCTGTAATCACTTAGAGAAGGGAGCTCTTTCCTTACATTAAGGACCATGCTGGCTGAACACTGATGCAAAGCTGTTCAGTTTGGAAATAGTGATGAAACTGCCTCTCTTCTGGAGACACAAACTGAGACCTGCCCCAAGGTGATCGGTTTTATTACACAAACTCATTGGCAGCACAGGTGCTGAAGGACAACAGGACTAG